TGAGCACGTGCCGGAGGCGGTGCCGGCGCCAGAGGAATCCCATGAGGAGGCAATGGAGGTTTCTGCCGTGCAGCAGCGAAGGGCGAGGAGCACCCAGTGGAAGCTGAGGCGCCTGCTGTTGCTGCTGCTGAGCACGTGCCGGAGGCGGTGCCAGCGCCAGAGGAATCCCATGAGGAGGCAACGGAGGTTTCTGCCGTTGCAGCAGCGAAGGGCGAGGAGTACCCAGTGGAAGCTGAGGCGCCTGCTGCTGCTGCTGAGCACGTGCCGGAGGCGGTGCCAGCGCCAGAGGAATCCCATGAGGAGGCAACGGAGGTTTCTGCCGTTGCAGCAGCGAAGGGCGAGGAGTACCCAGTGGAAGCTGAGGCGCCTGCTGTTGCTGCTGCTGAGCACGTGCCGGAGGCGGTGCCAGCGCCAGAGGAATCCCATGAGGAGGCAGTGGAGAAGGTGTCTGCCGTTAACGAATTGGCCGAACTACCATGCGATGAAGCCGATTTGTCTGGTAAGGGTGATGAGAGTGAAGGAGACAAAAACGTCAGTGGGGTTCCGCAACATGCGTCCGAAGGAAGGCCCGCTGAGTGTAGGGATGAGCTGTAGTGCTGAACTACGTTATTATCTGCTTTGAATGTTAATTATGCACTGGGGTTGCACTTGTACTCTGTTCTGTGGTACCGAAATGTTTATGTATATTTGGGCTATTGAAACGGCGGCATTATATTTTCTTTAGAAGTAAAGTGTGTGGGAAACCTAAAAGACAATCTTGAGTAGGGTTGAAGTAGGAGGGAACAAAGTTTAGTTTTTCCATGTACAACGGAGTTTAGAAGGGCAGAAGAAAAAAAAAAGCAGAGGAGGATGTGAAGCCCAGTTTCTTGTGTTTGTGTTGGGTTGCACCATCTCTGCAGTATTTTTATTCCTTATTATCTGCGTCGTGCATGTATGATGTCACTCTAAAGTTTGTCGTTGCGTTTGAGCCTTTCATCTTGTTTGCATGTGTAGGTGTGCTGCGGCCACATATGACATCCCGTCCATGTATTCTCCTTTTGTTGCAGCTTAGAGACACTCTCGCTCATTGCTTTTACACAAACTGTGTTTTCGTGGCTGCTAAAAAAATTTTCCAATAACAGAATACACGATTATATATATATATATATATATATATATATATATATATATATATATA